GGGTGACATGGTGATGGGAAACCCCTGGGTATTACAATTGAGATTGGAAAAAAAATGTACAAAATGATGTAAAAATAAACTTATAAAATTTTTTAAAAAGGTCTTGTTTATGTGTAATTCCAATTTAACTGGGTGCTTTATAGCACCATTTCGTTCAATTTTCTCAAAGAATGAAAACCGTCCTTCCCAAGAATGTTTGGGTTGACAGGCTAGAGCAACGAAACACGGAAGAATCTTGACCCTTTGAGGAACCCGTACGGCCGTTACAGCCTCAAAATTGTCTTGATTGATTTCCCCGCCCCCTCTATTCAGGTCTTCCAGGAACTGGAAGGATTGTTCCAGCTCTTTAGGCTTCGTAAGTCCCGCCCTTTCAGCTATCAGCCCTAGAGAGGAATCTGTAACCCTGAAGGGGCGGAGGAGCGGCGGAGTTGAGGAGCGGAAGTAGTCAGGTTTCACCGAGAGCCGTAAAGTGCGGCTGCCCGGCTCCCTTTCCGGATCAAGACGACAGCTCTGACTGTCTGACTGCCCGCCCACGTCGAGTGAGGGGATCTGCCTGGCCCTTGTTAATTCAACGACCCCCCCTCCTCCTCCCCCATCCCCCCCTAAAACGGGCCCTTCCCCGTCGTCACCCCCCCTTCACCTTGGATCTTATTTAAGAAGTAAGGATAAGCTGTGGCCTCCGTAGGCAACTCACAAAGGCGGTGGGGGTGGGGAACATGGCGAGAGCAAAGGTCCTCTGTCTCTCTCCCCCACCCCTGCCAGCCTGACTCCCTAAGGTTTTCTATTGTATATGCTCTCATTTGCAACACTTTGAGCTTTTCCACCCCTAACCCTCAATTGGATTTCGGTCCTCCCATTTTCATTTTCTCCTTGTCTTTCTCTTTAGCCCCTTCTCCCAATCCTGTCTCCATTCCTAGAGTTCTACCAATCACATCCTTCCACTGTAGTTAGGGACATTCTTTAGCTGAAAGACGAGCCCTATACTCACTGCCATAGTTTGTTATGAACTGAATTAAAAGGAAGGCTTGACTTCCTGGGTCAAGGGAGTGAAGGAGTCTGGGTGACAGGAAGCAAGCGGCCTGTATTGCCTGCTGCCTAGCTGTCAGATTAACCTTGTCTCGAAAATAACGTGACTGCCCCATAGGCTATTCAGTATAAGGAAGACAAAATTCCTTGGGAACCCACGTAAAGGGTTTGCCTTCTAGATTTGGTAGGCGCAAAAAGCAAAGGGGAAATATGGGCAAAGGAAGGTGGGTTTTGTGCATGGCATTTTGAAAAAAAAAAAAAAATGGGGATCGTAGAAATCGTCATTATCACTGAAAGCTCAACAGATTACATAGCCTATCAGGAACTGATTTCCTGTTATAGTTGAATTGGGCTTTTTTTTTTTTTTTTAATGTGAACGCTTGGGTTTTTTGTCTTGCTTTTGTTTCTTCAGACAGGTTTTGTTGTTGGTGGGCATCTGTGTTTCTTCCTGCATAGAAATAAGATTTTCCAGGAAAGGCATTTGTGTAACTGATTATAGATTGTAATGTGAAGTATGCTTCATATCCTCACACACCTCCCTCCTCTTGCACCCAACTAATTGTGCAGACATGACAGTTTATTCTAATTTTGTATTAAGACGGTTTTTGTGCTGGAAAGAATAAAAGAAAAATGGTATTTTTAACAATTTATTTCATAATTATTTTAGGCACCTGAATACTTGCTTGAGAATAGAAGACTAATTGAAACAATGTCTTTAGCTATTCTGATGTGTCTGCTTAGAAATACCTTTTTTTGTTTTTGTAAAAATCATTTGGCAGATTTGATGAAAAAGAAAATATGCACAACTGCATCCAGTTGAAAACCTCAGTTATTAAGGGTATTAAGCACCAGTTGGTAGAGCAATTTCCAGGTATTGAACCTTGGCTTAATCAAATTATGCCCAAGAAAGAGCCTGTCAAAATAGTAAGATGGTAAGTCTTTATTTTTCTCTGTGTACTCTTAAATAGCTGAATATTGAATGACTAGATTGCAAGATTGCATTCCTGGTGAATGTAACTACTTTTACATTAATTTTAGGTTAATTATGGGAATAAATAGAAAGAATAATTCTAAAACTTACCAATATTTGTATCCTGAAATGTTTTCCTGTTTGTGAAGAATGTGACTTTGCATATGATTGTTTTATTAAATCATTCAATGTTTTTACTCTATTTAAAGTTGTATTTAATTTATTTTAGTTTGTACTTCAGAGATTTGTCATACTGCATTGATAAGAGAGATGAAATTGATTGTAGCAAGTCATATTTTTCTCTCTACTGAGCTGGTACGATAGGTAAACAAAGTACACAATGTTTTTCATGTGGATCTTTATTGAAATTTTTAAAAAGCTTACTGTATTTTTATATATACACATCTCACATTATACATTACTTAAAGCATGTTTGGTATATTTATTTCAGAAAGATATATAACTTAGTACTTTGCAAATTTGTCTTACAGCCATGAACATATAGAAGTCCTTACAGTAAATGGAGAATTACTATTTTTTAGACAAAGAGGAGGGCCTTTTTATCCAACCCTAAGGTTACTTCACAAATGTAAGTCTTGTTAGAAAATATGTATTTGGGCATATGGAAAGACATAAATATAAGGAGTTGAAAGTGACTCTACCAGTTAACTTGTTATCAATACTACATAATTTGGAATATAAAACTGAAATATAAATCCCTATGTTGTCAGTGTGAAAAATGCAAGTTTTCTCTGTGCATTCCAGAAAGCCCCAGAAAAATCCTTTGTTCATTCATTCAAAAAATATATTGAACTTCCTGCGTGCCAGGAAGTTAGGAACTGAGAATATGATAGCAAGCAAAGGCAGACATAGTGCCTGCTTCTATGAAGCTGACAGTCACATTGGGAGAATACACAATTATACAACTACATACTTACAAACTGAGAAAAATGCTATAAGTATTTTCTCTTCCTCCTTCACCTCCCCCTCCCATTTTCCTTTTTTAACTTTGCATTGAATTTGCCTCATACAGGTTAATTGTATATAAGGGAAAGCACTGGAACTCCTGGTAATTGTTAGTTGAGTGTCAAGGTCGCATGTCATGAAACCAAATAATATTACTTAGCTACCTATATTGTTGTTTGTTGTTAGGTTGAGTACATTATAAAAGAAATATGATCCCAGTACACTTGCAATTTTCAACTGTGGAGTAAAATTTCTGCTTTTCAATCTAGTATGTATCTGGCATTCTAGTCAAGAGGCAGAAAGGATGTGCCTGAAGGACTCTGTAGGTGTTATTGATGACTTAATTGATGAGTTTGGTTTTTGGTAACTCAAAGTTTTAGTGGAACAGAAGTCAGGAGCAATAAGGTTATTGGGCAAAAAATATTAACAGGTGAAACATTTTAATATTTATAAAGGAATATTTACAATGATTTGATTTTGTATTTCATCAGGTTGAAAAAAAGTTTTTTAAAGTTTAAAATGTTTGGTGCTGTTAAGATGTTTTGATGACATTAATGCCTACTCAACTAAAAGAGAAAAGATACAAAATCAAATCAAATGTTGGATCCTGGTTTGAAAAATGAAATCCAACCCTTTTGTGTCCCCCCCCTCCAAAAAAAAGATATAAAAGACTTTCTTGAATTATTGGGGAAATTTAGTGTTTTTTATTATAAGATGATATATAACTTTTTAAATTTGTAGGTGTGATAATAGAACTATGGTGATGTAAGAGAAAAAATTTTAGGAGATGTGTAGTTATGGCTTTTCTTTTTAGAGATATATTTACTTATGGATACAAGAACTGGGGTGTAGGCCAGAGGTATGGGGGTGAGAGACAGAGACAGAGTGGGGAACAGGTCAGGTGGATATATTGAAATACATTGTTGAAGGGAGCAGCGGGCAAGACAGGAGAGGCTGCTATGCCGAGTTGATTAGCTCCTTGGCTGACCTGCAGGGGCTTGAACTCATGCTGCACTGACTGGCAATAATTTGCTAATGCTGAGATTTAACCCCTGTGTCATCAGGGAGGCCTCTAATTATAGTTTTTCTATATATTAAGCATTTTCATAATAAGTTGAAGGAAAGAGATATCCTTATTTAATTATTTTATGTTGGGACCAACCTTTTAGGATAGCTTAAAGCTGTATTTATGCAAAGAAGCAAGATAACATGGTGATTAAAATTATGAAGTTAGGCAGACCTGAACTCCAATTTTTAGTGTATATCAGTTTTGTGTTCCTCTTATTTAATAATGGACATGACAATTGTATATTGCATCTCCCAGGGATGTGAAGATTAAATAATTCACGTAAGGTACTAACATAATTCCTGGAACATAGTAAGTGCTCAATACATGTTAGCTATTATTTAATAAATATGTAGTACTACTATTACTATTACTACTGCTGCTACTACTATTTCTACTGATTGTCATAATCAGCATTACTAAAGGGAAGATATTAATAAGGTTGGAAATCTAGAAAACAACTTAAAGCTTGTGAGCAGTAAGTGGATTCATTCATTCAAGTTCCATTTTATCAATAAGATGTTTAATTTGTAGTCTGAGTAGGAAAAAAACTTGTACTTGTTCTCTGAGGGGAGAGTTAGATGTAAGATATTCAAGTGATTTTTTTTCCAGTTGTTGTTATTCCTAGACAGTCCTATAAGGCCTAAAATGCCCCTCACCCTACCCCTACAGACTGTTTTTAATCCTGCAGAGATCCTTTAATTGTTAGATTATAAATGATTATCCAACAGATATACTCACAGTAAAATAATGAAAACAAGTTTTATTTATTTCACAGAAGAATTGGGGTGTAGGCCAGAGGTGTAGGTGTGGTGAGATGATACACCAGAGACAGTGTAAGGAACAGTACAGGCAAATCTACTGAATAAACTGCTGAGGGGAGCAGCAGTTTGGACCAGTCAGGTCTGCTGCACCATGGGGGTCAGCTTCCTGGCTGGGGATCAAACTCAAGCTGTAGTGGTGTAACTCTGAGTTTTAACTATTAGGCCACCAGGGAGTCCTCTTTAAGATTACAAAAAGACTATGTGTTCACTGTAGAGATTTGGAAAATACAGAAATAAAATCACTTATATTCCCATAACCTAAAGATAATCATAATTAGTATATAAATTTGCTTCTCTCAATTATTTCTTGTGGGTGTGTGTAAATGTATATTTGAGTTTTAAAATAGATGAGTTCTGGCCCTCCCTGGTGGCGCAGCGGGTTAAAGCACAGCACTGAGAATCTAAAGCCGCTTCTGCAAGAGTTCCATTCCCGCCTGCCCCGGAGGTGACCACATGGCGTGGCAGACCTCTCCTGACCCGCCCGCTGCTCCCCTCAGCAGTGTACTTCGTCGATCTGCCTGTTCTGCTCCCCACTCTGTCTCTGGTGAATCCTCTCACCCTCCACGTCTCTGGCCTGTACCCCAGTTCTGTATGCACAAATAAATAAATCTTTAAAAAATAATAAAAAAATAAAAAAATAGATGAGTTCTGTACGGCTCTTTTTGGATTACTTTTTAGAGTAGTTATTTTGAAAAAGATTTATGTATGCATACAGAACTGGGGTACAGGCCCGAGGTGCAGGGGTGGTGAGAGCATTTACCAGAGTCAGAGTGGGGAGCAAAACAGACAGATTGGCAAAGTACTCTGCTGAGGGGAGCTGCAGGTGAGACAGGAAATGTTTGCTGCACCATGTGGATCACCTCCAGGGTGGGGATTGAACTTTCACCTAAGCTGCCACACATAAGCAGCAGCAGCCAGCTTTGCACTTTAACCCATTTTACCACCAGGGAGGGCCCTGAGTTTTAAGTGTGATACATTTGTTATATATGATGAACCAGTACTCACATGTTAATAACCAAAGTCCATAGTTTACATTAGAACTTCCTTGTTTTCTACATTCTTCTGGTTTTGCCAAATGCATAGACACGTATCCATTTTTAGTGTATCATACAGATTAGTTTTACTACCCTAAATCTTCCCTGTGCTCCACACCTCCCTTCCTCCTCACTCTCCTCCTCAGCAACCACTGATCAGTTGGGTAGTTTTTCCTGTTTTATTTTTTTTAACCTTAACATTCTATATGAGTATTTTCCAGGTTATTATATATTCTCTAAAAACATGGTTCTATTATAGAGATACTGTAATATACGTAAGTTATTTAGCTTACTTTATTGTTGGTTTTAGATTATTTTATTATAAATATTTGTACTATAGTAAATATCTTTTTACCTAAATATATTGTACATCTCTCATTCTTCCTTAGGATAAAGTCTTAAAAGTAGAATTATTGAGTCCTAGTTTGAACCCTTTCAGAGCTGTTGATTCATGTTTAGTAGTCCTAAAGAAAACTTGTATTTGTTTAATTAGTCTTCAGGCTGTATATGGGTACACCGATTTTCCTACACTCTTTCTGGCAGTGGAAATTGCTTTTATTAAAAATACTTATCAATTTGGGCCCTCCCTGGTGGTGCAGCAGGTTAAAGCGCAGCAATATGAAGCTATCTGTAGCTACTGCAGCATGGATTAGATCCCCAGCCAGGGAAGTGATCCATATGGTGTGGCAGACCTTTCCTGTCTCGCCTGTCCATCTACCTGTTCTGCTCCCAACTGTGTCTCTTGTGAATCCTGTCATCCCCCACACCCCAGGCCTGTACCCCAATTCTTGTAGATCTTTAAAAAATATCAATTTGATAAGTAAAGGATGGTGTTTCAGTTTTATATCTGTCAGGATACTGTAATTTTGGGAAATATATTTCATGTCCTTTGTCCGTCTCATTAATTTATGTAATGTATTTTCTTCTAGATCCTTTTATCCTGCCACACCAGCAGGTTGATAAAGGCGCCATCAAATTTGTACTCAGTGGAGCAAATATCATGTGTCCAGGCTTGACTTCTCCTGGAGCTAAACTTCACCCAGCTGCAGTAGATACGGTTGTTGTATCCTTTCTAGGCCATAAGTGTAGAAGAATATACCCATTGTATTTTTGTCATTCTGAAAGATCTGTTATCCAAGAGAACGTTAGATGTACTTTGGGGGAGAGGTTATTACTAGTAATATTATTTCATGCCTTTCTGGTTATATTTGAAGATATTGGAAGTAACATTATTTCTTGAGCCTAAACAGGGTCCCCATTTAGAAGTTAAATAAGATCAAGTAACAAAAGACTCCTAAAAGCTTTTCAGCTCAGTTAGGGCCAGTGTTATCACAATCAGGACATGGTCTACTTCTTTGGACAAGAGCTTGCTATTTTACATTTGATTTACCCAGATACACTAGAAAATGGAAAAGAATGTAGACACCGGTAGGCCATTAAAAGTGGGTGGTGGGAACTATTGGTGATCTCCAATTTTCATTTCAGAGTTCAATTTTAAGTTGGTTGCTGGGCCTCAGAACATGTTTTCTCAAAGAGAAATGTTTCTCAATGAGAAATCAATAGAGAAAAGTTCCAGATAGTTCTTGCAGATTTTGAATAATTATGTATTATTTCTGTTTATATGGCGCTGTTTCATCTGTATTCTAGATTAAATAGGTTTTTGTCAGCTAATCTGAACAGGAGGACTCTTCCTTTGTCATAAAGTGATCATTTGTCTCAGGTTGAGAAAAAGACCCATACCTTGTGAGAATGGGTAAATAAATCACTGTGGACTGGGAAAGCTATTGGAATAGATTTAAGGATGTGTCCTGTGCTCTGCTGTGGCATTTATATGTAAGGCGTAGAATGAGTTGTATCTTAGGAGAAAATGGTATTGGCATAGCTACTGGTAACATAATAGGTGCTCAAATATTTGTGGAACATTGAATGAAAGAATTTAAAATCAATGGGGAAAAGTACTTTGTGAGGACAAGTTACCTTTTTATGTTTATGATGTTAAGTTTATAGTTCTAGTATTCCCCTTAAATGGAAAACTTTCCTAGTAGGTAGCATTCACTTAAAAAAATAATTTTTATTTTGAAATAATTATAGACATTTAGAAATTTGCAAGACTAGTATAAAAACTACTTTTAAAAATATGGACTGCAATATTTAACATTCTAGACATTTCTAATGATAATCAAAATCAGTCTGGTTGTTTTAGAAAGGTTGAAACTTAATGCCAGTCTTATAGATAGCTTGGGGATATAATTATTATTTTTTTATGGGATAGTTCTTTTTTTAATAACAGTTTATTTTTACATCATTTTGTACATTTTTTTTCCATCTCAATTGTAATCCCCATGGGTTTCCCATCACCAAGTCACCCGTGTGGGAGATATAATTATTTTTTAACATGTCCTTTACATAAAAACAGCATTAGTGATTGAAACACTAGAATAATTGATAATAATTATTTATTTCACAGTTTTAAATATTTATGTGTAAGAAATGTAATTTCCTTTTTTGTATGACTTAATTTTGTTGGCTTTTGATTATTGTATTAACTATTTAACTTGAAAACCAAGAATTACTGTTAGATTCATTCATTTTGCATTTCTTGAGTTTTTACAGTGTGTCCCCAGACATGGTAAGTCCCTGTCTTCAAAGGCTTAATGGTCTAGGTGAGGATGTAAGATGGCTTCAATGTGGCTTAACTAGTAATAGGATCATTACTTGATACCCCTATGCAAGGCATTTTGATAGATGCTTAGTTTTCTTAGCTGTGTGTTTTCAGGCGATTATGGCAGAAGGAAAACAGCATGCTCTCTGTGTTGGAGTCATGAAGATGTCTACAGAAGATATGTAAGTCTCACGCTGGGCTTTCTTAGCTTTGGATACATGGCTAAAACTATGCAGGAAGCCTCAGAATTACAGAGATATTTGCTCTCACTCAGACAACATCTTACAAACATCTAAGCACAGAAGCCTCTTTTCTTGATTTTCCCTAACATGTAAGAAGCCATTGAAACCTATTTTGTCTCTGGAATTGCATTCTTTCTTAAGTACTCTGAAAAGAACCCATGTGCCAACACAGATGTTTTATATGCATGTATGTGGTATTTTAGGAATGTTTTATTTAGTATATTTTAATTTGGATGGCGTGAGGGGAAGATGCTGCTAATTTTTAAAACAGTGACATAGTTCACACCACATAGTATTTATTTTATATTTCACCTGGTAACATAGGAAACATAGAATATTAAGGAAGTGTTAAAAGATTTAGTACCAAAACATAGCCAATATACTTAAAAGCTTTGAAACGTGTTTGATGATCAAAATATTACTATTAATTTTGTTTCAGGATTAGTATAACTCTGATGATCTCCTGGTATGGTGACATCATTTTATAGACCCACTAGTTGGATCACTAGAATCCATTTTAGATATGAACTTCAGCAGAATAGTGTAGACAACAGTATATGTGTAATATAAACAAATGCCCTGTATGTGACTCAATAATTGCAAAATAGTAGTGTACTTTGAATTATAAGTACCATAAATCAGCTAACAAAAATGCATTAAAGTATGCTTTTTTCCCCATTTACAGTGAGAAAGTCAACAAAGGAATTGGCATTGAAAATATCCATTACTTAAACGATGGACTGTGGCATATGAAGACATATAAATGAGCCTCAGAATGCACCTGGGCTAAATATAGATATTTGTACTATATCTGTGTTTGTGTCTGTGTTTGACAGCATGATGACAATACTGCTGTGCTTATGCTGAATAAATTCAACAGATGCTAAAATTCTGTTAGCTTCAATTTTTTTTTAAAGATTTATTTATTCATATAAGAACTGGGTTACAGGCCAGAGGTATGGGGGGTGAGAAGATTCACCAGAGACAGAGTAGGGAACAGATCAGGTGGACTGATTGAACACTGCTGAGGGGAGCTGCAGGTGAGACAGGAGAGATCTGCTGAGCCATGTGGGTCACCTCCCAGTCCAGGGATTGAACTCTTGCTGCAGTGGCTGCGGATAGCTTTATAGTGCTGTGCATGGACTCCTTGCGCCACCAGGGAAGCACTTGGATTCAAAATTTTTTAAATTTTTCTTAAAAAGTTAAAATTGGGCCCTCCCTTGTGGCGCAGCGGGTTAAAGCACAGCACTGAGAATCTAGAGCCGCTTCCGCATGAGTTCAATTCCCGCCTGCCCCGGAGGTGGCCACATGGTGTGGCAGACCGCTCCTGGCCCGCCCGCTGCTCCCCTCAGCAGTGTACTTCGTCGATCTGCCTGTTCTGTTCCCCACTCTGTCTCTGGTGAAGCCTCTCACCGCCCCTGAGCCTCTGGCCTGTACCCCAGTTCTGTATGCACAAATAAATAAATCTTTAAAAAAAAAAAAGTTAAAATTGGGTAACAAGCTTGGAGATTAAAAGGTATCTGGTAAATAACCAAACTCAAACAATTTAATGTCCTTAGGCTAATACAAGATTAAGGGCAGGACCTGGTAAATGAATTTGCAGTGTATGGTTGACCCCCCCCCACCAGAGAATATGGTTAATTCTTAATGGGATCAAAAGCTAAATAGATAATTTTATCCCATTACTTCACAGCACCTGAAAATGCCCCTTCTCCTTTGTGTTTTCCAGAAAACTTTTTTAATTATGGAAAATTGCAAACATATGTCATAGTATGGGGAGACTACTATGGTAGACCTTTTCTGTATCTATCACCCAGCTTCAATCTGTGGCCAGTCTTTTTTTTCTTTAAAGGTTGATTTACTTATGCATATAAGAATTGGGGTACAGGCCAGAGGTGTATGTGTTGGGGGGTGGTGGTGAGAGATTTAACCAGAGACAGAGTGGGAAGCAGACAGGTGGACTGATTGAACACTTCTGAGGGGAGCTGCTCAGAGGTCTGCTGAGCCATGTGGGTCAACTCCCTGGCCAGGGATTGAACTAGTGCTGCAATGGCTGTGGAGAGCTTTATAATGTTGTGCTTTACCCCATTGTGCCACCAAGGAGGTCCCTTTTATTTTTTTTTTAAAGATTTTCTTTATTTTTGCCTAGAAGAAGTGGGGTGTAGGCCAGAGGTGCAGGGGGTGGGGTAGTGGTGACTGGACCCCCCCCCCAGAGATAAGAGTGGGGAGCAGAGCAGGCAGATTTACTGAAATATACTGCTCAGGGGAGCAGCAGGTAAAACAGGAGAGGTCTGCTGTGGTATGTGTGGATGAACTCTCTGGCCCAGGGGTGGAACTCAAACCTTAGCTATGATAGTGCTGAGACTTAACCCCCAACATATCAGGGATGCCACATTGTGGTCAATCTTATTTCATCTTTTTCTCACTTGCTCCTTTGCATTCCATTTCAGACTATTTTGAAGCAAATCCTAAAATTATCATTACATCCACAGTTATTTTAATATGTATGTTTAAAAGAGAAGTTTTTTTTTAATGACCACAATATATATAACACCTAGAAATTTAACTTTCTTAGTATGATTAAATGTTTAAACTCTTCAAATATGCGGTAAATGGACTTGGTTATCTCATTTTTCTTTTTCAAGTGTTGGTTTGCTTGAAATAGATACTGGGCAAGGTCTATATATTGCATTTGGTTATTATTTATTTCAGTGTCTACAAGCTCTCCTTCCTTTTCCCTTTTAAATCAATTATTTAAGAAATGTAGTTTTTTTGTCTTTTAGAATTCCTCCACAATCTGCATTTTGTTGATTGTATCACTGTAAAGTAATTTAACTCGTTTTTATGCCCTGTAAAAACATAAGCTTGATCAGATTTAGGCTCAATTTGTTTAGTGTCTTCTCTTGAAGCTGGGTAAAATCATACTATGCAGATATCCAGAAGTTCCAGATTTTGGTCCACATTGTATTCCTTAAAGAATGTGTGTTTCAAATCATAACTGGCACATGAGGGCGATTGACCTTCAGTAAGAATAGTAACCCACTGGAGCCTCCCTGGTGGCACATGGAGTTAAGTCTTAGCACTATAAAGCTATTGCAGCCTCTGCAGCAGGAGTTCGATTCCCGGCCAGGGAGCTAACCCACATGGTACAGCAGACCTCTCCTTTCTTGCCCATTTTTCCCCTCAGCAGTGTATTGCATTCAAACTGCTTTTTCTGCTCCCAACTTTGTCTCTGATGATTACTCTCACCCCCTCCACAGCTCTGGCTTACACCCCAACTCTTAGATGCATAAATAAATAATTTTTAAAAAAGAATATAGTAAGCTGCTTTAGGAATTAAATGATCAGTTATGAATGCATGTGGTGATTAAAGGCCATGCTTCCTAATAAGCTTGCTGTTATTCAGGTGTCTCAGCCATCTTTATTTGGTTGTTTACAAGTATTTGACATGTGATTTTATTTTTCAAATGGATACAGACATTTATGAGATTGTGGTGACCATTCTTACAGTTAAAAGTTGGTGAAAAGAGTGAGGGTGGCTAGTACAGAGAGAGAAACTGTTTGGCTGGCTGTTCTGCCTGGGCCTTCCAAGATGTAATATAGGTGAAGATTATAGATCTAAAATCTGACCCTTAGATTGAGAAGCTATTTCTTGCTAGTGAAACTTGTAAGACAGTGATTCCCATGTTGGAATATAAATGTGTTACTTTACAGTGATAGTTCTGTTTAAGGCAAATAATTAGTAAACTTTCTTGGTGAACATGGGTGAGAAAGATGTTAAGGTTGATCATTTGGAGGAATACTTCATCTGACCTGGGGTAAGACCTGGAGAATTTTTTCTGCATCATTATTATTTGGAAAGCATATATAGCTGCCAGTCTTTCTAGTCCACAGAGGTACCCTGATATTTTACTTCCTATATTCTTTTAAGTTATTTGTAGAGGGCCCTCCCTGGTGGCATAATGGGTTGAGGCAAGCACTATGAAGGTATCGCAGCCATTGTAGAATGAGTTTGATCCCTGGCCAGGGAGTTGACCTAATGGTGCAGCAGTCCTTTGCTGACCTGCCCATGGCTCCCCTCAGCAGGTACTTCAGTTGATCTGCCTGTTCAGCTCCCCACTCTGTCTCTGGTGAATCTTCTCACTACCCCTCTCCCCCGCACCTCTGGCCTGTATTGCAGTTTTTGTATGATAAATAAATAAATCTTAAATAAAATTATATGTAGAATATTTTAGTTTATATCCTTATATATGACAGTTACATTCCACAACTTACCATGTTGTTATATTTTATTATTTATTAGTGGTGATATTATTTATTAGTGGTGGACAAAAGTGTAAAAGTCTCATCAGTAATCCATTTATAAATCACTTTTTAGGGTGGGTTTCTTCAACAGATAGCCTCATTGTGTGCTGATTTACTGATTTCAAGTACAGGTGTCTCTCCTATTTGAGACATATCTCCTTTTTCAAAGAGTAATTTATATCAAAAGTAAACTTTGAATCTTTATTTGAGTGTTAAGGTAATGTTAATTGATCAAGATTGCTCATGGAGTGTTAGCAATGAAAAAATATTATGCACACACAAATTTCCTGGTTTCTGAAAAAAAACCTTGTTTTTAACTACTGTTATGTTAGGCGTAGGGAACAATTTAAAAATATTCAACATCCTCTTCTGTGCTTGTTTTTATACCATGCTGAGCTCTGCCTGCATTGGTTGATGTGGACTACATATGTATGATTCTGTTTCCCCTGGGTTGGAGGTCCCAGACCATTGGCATTAATCAGGGGCATTTACTCTGCACTCAGGAGCCTTGTCATTTTCTACACTTTAGGTCATATATGGAAACTAGCAAATATATCAGCCTTTTTAGGCACTGTGCTTAAAGGAAACTTGGCTTACCCCCATTCCTGAGATTAGGAATGTAGTGAGAGTCTGTTTTCTCTCAAAAAATATCTCCAGTTCATTTTTAGTTTCAAAATTAATTTTGTGTCAAGCCATACCTACAGTCTAATCTATTTTTGTGTATCTGACACACTTTTACTTAGTCAACGTCAGTTCAGCTCAATGGACAGAGATTATTTATTAGGTTCTAGATGTGACAAAAAGATGAATAATATGAAAATAGGCCTTGCCCTTGAGTAGCTTCCAGTCTCGTGAATAAGTTTACATTAAAGAAAAATATGGGGAATTTAACAGCCCAATGGCAATTTAGAAGTTACTCATACTTTCCCGAATTTATGTCGATTGAAAACTTACACATGACCCAAATATATGTTTTAAGATTATATCCAATGTCAGGAAGTTTAAAAAAATACAGCTGTCTTGGACTTGCAGGGATTTAACTTTTCAACACAGATGTTCCACTAGCGGTGATATAAAGGCCCCAGAAACCCTCTCTGTAGACCAATGTACCTATTTGCTGGTGTTGTATAGGAAGGAATATTTTTCCTTTTGTGTGTGATTGTGTGTTCTGGACTCAAACCAAGCTGCTGGCTTTATCTGGGAAATGGTCATGAAGGTTTCCAATCAAGGGATTTGATAATACCCAAAGTCAGATGACATTTGTCAAATAATGATTACACCTACAGTATTTCTAAGCATAGTACTTCAAAGATAGAAGAATGGCTAATGACTAAATTTGCATGTCTTTCATTGTAATATTTTACTTTTTTGTTTATGAAAATAGTAATGACGTAGCAATTTATATGTTAAGAGGAATATGAATGCAAAAATGTGGTAAATGTTTTAACTTTGTTTATCTGGTTTCCTTAATGTTGAGAATCTTTCTCAAGGCTCTACAGGAAAACAAAGTGTTTTAATTTCTAAAGTTGGATAGGTGTATTCATTATAAAGGATTTATAATGAAATAAAAGTAAAATATATATA